GAGAGAGAGAGAGAGAGAGAGAGAGAGAGAGAGAGAGAGAGAGCGCTTAACAAAATGGAAGTGTTAAAGCTTTCTACTTCTCCCAGAAATATTAATTCAAGTCATGAGCCACCTGAGCAAAGGGCTGCAGCCCATTTATTCCAGGCCTAGGAGACAATATGTGGAGGTCCTGTTGGAACCTAGCACAGTATGTGATGCAGCAGTCACTCAAATGTTTAAATAAAAGTATTTCTAAACAATCAAACATGTCATTAAAAAAATTACACCTAAAAAACTAAGCTACTTTACTACAGATTCCAAAGTAAGTATTATGAATGGTTTCAACTGAAATATTACGTTAATACTAAGCAGCTGCATTCACTATAAAGGTGTGTTTGTGAAATGACTCTACGCAGAGCTTGAGAGACAGGAGGTACTTTAGAATGTCTAATCTCGAGGGTCCCAGGTGTCCACACACAGCACCGCAGGTGCCAGGCTGAGTGTGTAAGAAATATCGAGGTCACTGATGGGTACAGTCCCTAGCTCTCCCCAAGAGACTCTATTCCAGCAGATCCAGGGTAGCACCTGAGACCAGATAAGTTTAAAACAAATCCAGATGATTCTGGTGTGTGGCCAGGCTTGACAAACAGGTTTCCATACCCTCCCGAAGGTCAACAGGCCTGCTAACGGCACGGCCAGGACTACAGTCCAGGTCTGCAAACACCCACCCACTGCTTTTTAGGGACCACTGGCTACCTGTTCAGCTTCCAGGCCAACCCTGGGTATTCCCCTGATGTAACCAGCCAGGACGATGAACGCATCTCCAGAGACCAATGGGACAACCAGTGAGAAATATATAACATTTACTCAGAGGATCTGGGGTCAGACCCAGCTTATCACTTCCTCAAACTGGCAATTTATTTAACCTTGTTAGACTGAGTCTTCTCATCTGGGAAATGGAGATGACAGTTCCTAACGGACTGTTGTGAAGAAGAAATGATTGGCTAATAAGGGTGTCAAAAGAGAAGTGTTCAAGAACAAAGATGCTGAAATTCTTAAGGGGGAAAAATATAAATGAATATAAATGCCAAATAAAATAAATCATAAATTTATAAATAAAAATGTCCTAAAACTATAAAACAAAAATGTATATATTTATAAAAAGTTTGGAAATTATGGTTAGTTTATGTAAAAATTGAAATACAATTTTATCATATTGTTTTGTAAGTAATTTATATCAAATTAAATGCTATTTGTCCTTGATATCAGGCCTAGAAACATTTTAAGTTTATGAAGTATAATAAGGGTTACTTTTATCTTACTAATTTCACGAAGCTTTTAAACTTTGTTGAATAATTATACTAACATTGTAACAAGGTATAAAAACGGTAATTTAAAACAAATTTAAAAAACTTAAACATTAATAATGTGGTTGACTGATTATACTATTTCCTTAACTTTAATGATGTCAGACAGACATCTAATAGGGCTAAGGCTCAACTTCAGTTGAAAAAAGTCATTGCATTTTAGATAACATGAAATTTTAACACCAGAAGAGATGTTCATTAAAAATTTTTTCCCCCACAACTTTCTCAATCCTGTCTTTCCAATTAGCAATTTGTTAATGAGTGATCTCTCAAAGTATTTTCAGTGGCCAAATAAGTCTTTTTCTTTTTTTTTTTTTCAGCTGAGCCATCCTGCCAGTTCCAAATAAGTTTTAAAATGCTGCATACTCTACTGTAAATCTGACCCTTAGAGATTCCCAGTGCATATTAGCAAAAAAAGGAGTGAGAAGTCCTGTGATAGCCTTTCTCTAACATCTGACCGTGGATCCCTAGGTTTACTGAATAGTTCTTAATATCCTCCAGGGTCATTCCCCCTTACACCCCTCTCCGCCCTCCATTTAAGTACATTCCGATTCTTGCAAATTCATGGACCTACAAAATTCCTCCGCACCCTCAATTTTTGGGATTAACAGGGTTGGCAATTATTTATCCTGTTAGAACATGTGAAAATCAACTATAGTTTTATTAAACAAACAGAAGACTAGAGACATGCATGTGAAATCCTTCTGGAAACTTGAAAATGCTCTCTATAGATTTATTTTTACAGTGATCCCTAATAGGTTGCCTAGAGAAAGAAAATAAATGGTCATTAATGAAAAAATGTAGCGCTTTCCATAGAAAAAAATTCTACACTCTTTCTGCATATGTAAGTAGAAAGCACCCCCTGGAATTCTTTGAACAGCCGGCCCCAGGAGAGCATTTGCTCTCTGCATCTCCAACCAGGCGCCTGAGCTTCAGGGGACCCTACAGGCGCAGCAGTTCCCACCGTCCCTTTTATCCTTCATGTGGGTCTCTGCCCCTTTGCCCCAGAAAAATCAAAAGGAAAAGCTCTCAGTATATTTTAAAACATAAGGGGATAAAATATTGATTTAGCAGCTATTTTAGTGGATAATTTTCATATAGAATTCATTTTGCTAATAATTTTATTTTTATTCCTGGCTGACTCAGAACTACGCAAACTTATTCATAAAAAGTAAATCAGCAGTGAGACCCAGGGGGGTCCATAATGCTGGTTCTCTGGATGAAGAACCTAGTAAGAAGAACTATCTGGTGTTTTCAGGCCTTGTGGGGGCTGGGGAAAAAGCAAGGCAGCAGATGTGGAGGCCGACTATCTGCAGTATTTTATGTTACTTTTTTTTTTTTTTAAGCTGAGCCATCCTGCCACCTGTTGGAGCTCAGCGGCTGCTCACCTCGGGCCGGGACTCGAACCGCTGTTGCTCAGAGCTCAAACTCTTGAGCGAGCTCTTAACCAACTGAGCCACTCGGCCGGCCCTATGCTACTTTTATATTAAAGACTTTAAAGACTTTAGCATTGCAGATTTTGGTGTCTGTGGTGTGTGTGTGTGTGGTGGGGGGTGGTGGACCTGGAACCAATCCCCCTATACGTGGACTTTCACTGTGCAGGGGTTGGTGCCCCAATTCTTGCATTGTTCAAAGGTCAACTGCAAAATGTAGCTACCAAATTATTTGACATAGATATCTAAAACAAACCCTAGAAATGTTTTTATCCAGCAGCCAGTCAACTCGCTCAGTATGCCCATTTGTCCAAGCAAGGATACTTACTTGCAAATTGTAGTCTTGCAGAATTTTAACCAAGGAATCTCTCAAATTGGGAATCTCCATTCCTTCCTTAATACGGTGAATCAGTAGAATTGGGTCGACATGTGTGCCAATGTTGTTTAACAAGCCAGTAATAAACGCTACAAAATACCACATAACATATAAGCAACGCACACAGTACAATTTTAGGCCAAAAGTAACTCAAAGAAAAAATTATTTCCTTCAAAGTAAATATTGAAGCCATTTGAATTTCTAAACTCTCAAAAACTAATATTCCTTTACTTTCCTCATAACATAAAGGAGAAGCTAAATGATAAGAGTTTGAAACAGCTGGAGAACAAATGATTACTTCGGGATACAGTAGTCCCCCCTTATCTGCAGGGGTTATGGCCTGACACCCCCAGTGGGTGCCTGAAACTACAGACAGCACTGAACCCTATATACGTTTTTCCTATACACACATATACCAATGATAAAGTTTAACTTACAAATTAGGCACAGTAAGAGATGAATAATGATAACTAGTAATAAAATGGAACAAGTAAAACAATATACTGTAATAAGTTATACGAATGTGGTTTCTTCCTCAAAATATCTTATTGTACTGTAGTTACCTTTACACTTAAAGGAAGCACGTTATGGCTTCTCTTTGGCATATCTGAATTGCCGGCATCACTACTCTTTCACTTCGGGGTCACTATTAAGTAAAATGGGTTACCTGAACACAAGCACTGTGACACCACCACAGCGGATGTGACAACTGAGATGGCTAGTGGGCTGACAGTGTTTACGGCGTGGATACGCCGGACAAAGGGATGACTCACGTCCTGGGTGGGATGGGACGGATGGCGTGAGGTTTCATCCGGCTATTCAGAAGGATGCACAATTAAAAACTTATGAATTGTGGATTTCTGGCATTTTCCATTTAATACTGTGGGACCACAGGTGACCATGGGTAACTGAAACTGGAGTGAAACGTGGATAAGGAGGGACTACTATACAGTCTGTGATGCCAAAGGGGTACAACTACCATTCACTGACACTTTATTAGGGCTCAGTTATCATATGCTTCTCACCAATATTCTGCAAGGTGGAGTGTTATTTGTCCCCATTTAACAGAAAAGGGACGTGGGGTGGTTAACTAATTCATCCAGGGTCACACAGCTAGCAAGCTGTAAGCCCAGATTCAAGCCCATGCCAGACCCGAGTTCACAGCACGTTTGTTCCAGCACGCCCCCACGGTCTCCTTTAGGGTCCCCAAAATACTGCTTTATCACATTAAACTAGACCCTCAAACATATATGTGCATGTAACTGTCTTAATCTGAATTTGACTTGAATAATGTTATCCTCTTGTATCTCTTATTAAAAAGATAATCAGAGCAGTAGTTTCTAGAACTTGAAAATCTTGAAATACATAAGCCTTCCTACCACAAAATAAAAAAAAAGGGGAGGGGGAGATTTTACACCACTACTGCTAGCTTCTAAATCATTTCGATATCTTCAAGAAGGCCTGCGTTACTGTTAGGTGGCTGCTTTGTTTCTTTCCAAAACGGGGACCAATGCAAATGGTTAAGCGCAGAGCCAAGCAACACACACTCGAGGTGCCGTGCTGTGAACTGGGGTTTGCTGTTACCACCAGACATGGTCAGCGTCCTGTGACAGCTCCGTTTCCATAGAGAGAGGCTGGTGTGGGCTACATGGGTTTCAGAATAAATATCCACAGTACACCTAAGACAACCCAAACTTCCCACATCACATCCATTTAGTGGGTGCAGAGGGTACAGACTTGCTTCATGGGGACACAGTGAAGACCTTCAGGTTAACCACTGTCCTTGATCACATTCAAGTGTCACACGGAAGGCATTCCAGGGTCTCTGCCCAGGAGCGGGGCTGGGAACCGGGACAACACACCTGGCCTTCTCTTCCTATAGGTACTTTGCTATATTTTGAACTCAGTGTGGCCTGAAGTAATTCTTACTGTAGACATAACGGGCTAAACTGAGAGAAAAAAGCTGTGACCCCAGATGGCTGTGTTGCTTACGTGGCTTGTCGATGGAATACAGAATCAGATCCTCCCATAGCTCGCCATCGTCCTGCTCCTTGGCAAACTCAATGGCTTTGTCGACATCATGTAATTCCTCCATGATCATCTTCAGGGCGCTTCGGCTATTACCCATTCTGCCTAGCGCAGACACGAGAAATACTCCACTTAGGACGTTTTAATACAACATTAAGGATATTTTTATAAAAAAGTGCTTTAAAGAAATTGCATCTCTCTTAATTTGTTTACAGTTTGAAAGCTAAGACAAGAAAGCATTTTCTAATGTGACATTAGCATTGACTTGTATAACACAATAAAATATCTGTTTACGGGTGTTTACTGTGTGCTGGGTACTCATTTGAGTGTTTCCCATGGATTACATCATTTAGGCATCAGCAGCTCTTATGAGTTATGTTCTACTAATATTTCTGTTTTACAGAAGAGGACACACAAATGTCAGTGACTTGCCATGATCACAGAGGTACTAATCGTGGATCTAGAGCCCGAGCCCAGGTGTCACATTCAGACAGGCCAACGTTTGGCTGCCGTCACACCCAGACACAATTAAGACTTTTCATTTTCAGGGCTTGGAATCATTCTGTCTCCTAAGGTAGCTTTTCACTTGCTCCTCTAATACACTTCACACCAACTGCATACTCAACCTCATTTCCTTCTCTTTCACGTTCAGGGGAAATCCTTTCAATAACCTTCATGAAATGCAAGTAGAGTAATACCTTGGTTTGCGAGCATAATTCGTTCCAGAAACATACTTCTCATATTGCAAGACATCGCTCGTTTACCAAGTTAAAATGTATTAGAAATGTTTGCTCATCTTGCAGAACACTTACAAACCACGTTACTCACAATCCAAGGTTTTACTGTATTTACCAACAATGCTTCTATTTGGTTAATTATCTTTACATACTTTGGTCATTGATCTATTGGCATGTTAATGGTTTTGTTAACGATTTCCACGAGTTTTTCACAAAGTACATGTAGAAAGCCAGATGGCCAGGGACAACTGACAGCTAGATTACACTGAAAAGTTTTCCCCCCTCTCCAAACTTCAATATTGAATTGCATTTCCTCTAGTTATTTAGGGTGTAATTTTTGAAAATAAATATTATTTATTTTCTACCAAGATGATGGTAATATAAGCTTATATTTATTTTTAAAAAATGAACAAACTCGTTAACCCATCTATAATTTATTTTATGTGAGGTATAAATTGATAGTTTTGTTTATTACACAATACTAAGATGTTATTCCAACAGCTTTTATTAAATAACTCTTCCTTCTCTATTAAGCTGTGAAGTCTCCTTTTCCCTGTATTCAATTTTTGTATGCAATAGGCTCTAACATTTGTGTTACTGTGGTCTAAAACCTATGTCCATTCTTAGATAATTTATACCACACTGTCACCCCGTTTCTTAGTTTGTGGGGACCAAAAGGAGTAAAAGCTACTTACTCAGGAGATAAACTGTCTCTTCTACGAAGTTTCTCTGTTGACAGATCTCAAGCGCCTTCAAATAAAGCAGGACAAAAATGTGATTATGGGTTACCAGACAAAAACAAATATTTAAATAGAGTCACTTAAACACATAAGTTTGAAAGAATTTTTCCACTGCCTCACTTTAAAAACAAAGCCAAGCAAACAAACAAAAACAAGTCTCTTTAGGTTTTGCTGGTGGCTGCACCCACTCATCTCTCAGAGGGGCTGGTCCCTACACAATTTAACTGATAACATTTGAGACAACTCAGAACATTCCAGGAGCCAAGGCAGAAGGCAAGATGCTGAAAGAGGGCGCTTTCCCACCAAGCTTTCTCTCTTTGTACTACTTTGTGTTTCCTCACAGCGCTGTCCCCAGCTGACCCTGTCCTTGGTTTCGGCTCTGTCTCTCCCACCAGAAAGCTCCATGAGAGGATGGCAGTTCACTGCTTCATGTTCCAGGGTTGAGTGTACCAGAGCTCAGCAAACATTTGTTGCATAAATACATATATAAATACTTCTACTGCCAGCTTACAGCGTTTAAAAGATAACTCTGCTCAAGGATTGGTCAAAAGTGAGCGGGAAGAAACACATCTGACAATCGAGGAGAATCAAAAAGGAAAAGATCAGGTAAAAGAAATGAGAAACTACACAGATGACATTTCCTTGAGTGTAAGAAAAAAGACACTATGTGATTATAAACAATTCAGTAATCTAAATGAACTGGTGCACATTTACTATATACTCTGTACTGGGCACCAGATGTCAGGTTGGATGAGATGCAAAGATGACACTGATATAAATGCTGCTGATAGCACGTAAGAGAAGGACAGTGAGAAAGAGACGGAGGTGGCTCAGCAGGGGTGGAAGCAGCATGAATCCGCCAAGGGAGTGCAAGGTCTAGGGACGGTGACAGAGCTGTGACAATGCAGAATCCCATGAGCTAGGTATGAACTGAAGCCATGTGCATACTGTACACAAGCTCTGGTGTGGCCCTCTGGTACAAAGCTTTGCTGATGAGGTGACATCTGGACTGCATGCAGTGTGATGCGTCAAAGCTCCTGAGGGACCTCACTCACACCCTCCTATGGGACCTCCCACTGCGGTGCTCAGCTCCCGCTTAAAGCCCAGAAGCCTTCCTGCGGCCTCTGCGCATCCGCAAGCTGGCCCTGAGCTCCCGTGCAGCCACACCTCACACGCTGCGCGGCCCTGTACTGTGGTCCCTCGGCCTGGCCCTCCCGCCCCACTCTGCAGCGCTGGCATGTCCTTCACACAAATCCTGCTCGGACCCACTGCAGGTCACATCCCCGGCACTACTGACCTCGCATCTTCACATCACTTAATCACAAGGACAATTAACTGCTCCCCTAATTGTCTGTCTGATTTCTATCGGCTGGGACCATCTGCGCTCCGAGCCCTGTGCTTTGCACAATGCCTGGCTCATAGTAGGTGTGTAATAAGTACTTTTTCAATAAATGAGCAGAAAAAAAGGTTTCAAAGGACAATTACTGGGCTGCAGGGTTAAAGTAGTTACTTAAAACAACCAGCAAGGTTGCTTTATAAATAATCAAGGAGATAAAAAAGAACAGCTCAAGTTCATTAGCTCTTTTGGCTCAATGATCTATTGGGTTGTCGGAAAAGTCACGACGCATTTTTGCAATGAAAACCAGAAAAAATACGTCATGCATGACTCTTCCGACAACCCAATCTTGGGAAAAAAACAGCAGGAGCTAGTTTTGACATCTTGATTTTTTACTTAAAACTTTGTGTAAAACATATAATTAAATCTGTGTCTCTGGATGGAGATTGACAACTAAAAGAGAGGAAAAAAAATGCAGATCACAGAGATCAATATAGGGGGAAAAAAACAAAACCAAACATAAACAAGGAAAAAACAAATAACACCTTACTTTAGAATTGCAGTGAAATAGGACAGTGTTTCAAAGTACACAGATAATTTAATTGTGAAAATAAGACCTGAAGGTTACAATGAGGAGGAAACACTATTAATTCAATTATTCACAAGGTTCCTTTAAAAATTATGTGGCAGAGATAACTAGTTGTCCCCCCAGTAGCCTTTATTCATTTCTTCTATAGTAATAGATTCCAGGTGGGTGTGTACTGCCCAGAATTAAAAAAAAAAAAATCTCTAAGCCTCCACAGTGGTAGGAGAGCTACATGACTAACGTCCCCATAGAGATGAGACAGAAACGTGACAGCTTCTGGGGATGTTCTCTAAGAAGCAATGCGTGTGAACCCTCTTTCTTAGTTTTAGTCCTTTAACCCAATCTTCTCCTGGAAACATGGATGATACTATCTGACATCACAAGGTCAAGGTCATACAAGGTGAGGCTACTAGAGACAGTGCCTGGGTCTCTGACCCTGTGGAATGCCATCCCCAGCAGGGCCAGTCCACCAGAACTTCCATGTGACAGGGGACCAAACTGCAACTCTGTTTAAGCCACCATTATTTTGGGATTTTTAATCACTCATAGCTGAACCTAATCCTCACTAACACTTAGAAAATCCTTGTTCATTTTTATTAAAAACACGGTTTACCTCTCTCTACACCCTCGCGCCCATAAACCACCACCCTAAACAATGGGACTTTCTTACCAACTCTCCACTCCTCTAGAATGATACGAGGGCAGATTCAGATACACATGTGAGAAGTTACACAGCACAAGGAAAAAGCAAACTATCGCAGTCAGAGGGCCTGGGACTATTCCAACCAAAATTCAGACACCAACGGAGTGCCTGGGTCGCTGCCAGCTGCTGGAGATGCAGATGGACAGCGTGTGGCTTAGTGAGGCCATGTCATTCACACACAAGCAGACAATGGTCATACAACTGGACACGCAGATGTTTACAGAAAGTGCAAATAAACATGAGGATGCTGCTTACAATAGTTTATTACTAGAAGGCATCCATAAATCATTTTGTACTTGGAAATTTACTGGCACTTTAAGCATCACTCAGAAGTTTCAAACAGAAGCACCCCCCTTTTCTTGAGCACATGGGAAGCCTTAAGAAGATCTTGTCTCAAACCACCAAGAGTCTGCAGTCTGAAGACTAGCCTGAGCTGTGCAGGACAATAGCCACTGCTGTAATGTGGCTACTTAAATTTAAATTAAATTCAGTTCTTCACTAGCTACATTTCAAATACTCAATTTCTACACAGAGGTAGTGGGTACTTTGTTAGGGTAGATTATAGTACATTTCCATCACTGGAGAACACTCTATGGGCTAGTGCTGCTGGCAGCTCTTTGAGGATGCTATCAAGAATGACAATCCATGTGATGAAACAGCTAACGGCAAGTCTGAATGAAGTCAAGACTGGTATAGTTCGTGAGCACACTTGGAATACAAAGGTCAGCAATAATCTGAGTTGCCGAAATTTGAATTTCACGGATTTGTAAATATTTTATGACTAGTTCCTGACAGTATCTTAAATTATGCCTTCTCATATATGGGACAGTAGAGAGTCTAGAAATCTCTAGAAAATTTTGAGTAAAATGTAAAAAGAAAATATTTTTGGTACACAGAATTTTTCTATTATTGATACAAGTGAAACATAAAAGCATGTTTCCTTATTTTAGATTCTTGATTGTTCCTGGACCATAGTGCTCCCTCTAGAGGAAACAGTAGGAAAATAAAGATTTTTAAAGCTAATGGGGGGACACACACACGGAAAAGAATAGTAGTAAAGATAAAAGTGAAAAGAATAATGACAGAATTTGAGTAAAAAATTATGCAAAAACAATACTTTAATTTTCCTTTTCCTGATTTAGTATAATGGTAAAAAAAACATAGTTAGAAATTTGGGAATAACTAACAGGAACCTCATCAACCATAAATTAAATAATAATTTCTATTTAGCCTTGAGCCTGTCATCTCTTATCCAATTTTCTCTTTAAATTTAATGAAAAGCCACAAATTTTTCATTTCCCGGCTTCATTCCTCCAAATTAATAAACACTGCCACCTTGTGAACGTCATTAGATATGAGACAGATCATAAATTCAGATATAAATTTGCCAAAGCTATAAAGCTGATACTCTGGTTTTAATTATTTTAGGCACAAGCGAATCAGATTTGCAAAGGAAAACGAGTGCCTGATGACCCCCCTGGAAACCGAAGGGCGGTTAGTTTAACGGTCTAAAAGTTCATGTCATTCATTCTTGCAATACTAAAGATTATCTTTATTACTGATGTTGTCATTATTTTAATTAAATTTTTTAACCTGAAAAACAACTCCTCCCCACAGCAGAAAGAACATGGGTCCTGAAGTTAAGAGATCCGAGTTCCAAGTGCTGGATCTCTAGACTCTGGGCTGTTTCTTTCAACCCATGAGGACTCGGCTTGTCATGATTTTATCCACCTACCTGCACTTTTGTAGAGATTAAATAAAAACAAGGTACAAGAAAGCACAGCATATATTATAAAGCACTACAGAAACAAACAATTTTTATTGTCTGTTTAAATTGCTATAGATGTTATTAATTCCTACCAACTCTGTATCTCCTTTAATATAAACAATTTCATAAACATTTATGATTAATTTTGGAATGTATGAGTTGTGGTGATTTTAAATCCTGAACTCTGGTCTTTGATGACCCTAAAGGACTTTTGATGTGATGTCAGGGTCTCTACAAAGTTTTTTGGCCAAATACTATTGATGGTGGGATTTCAATCAATTCAAAATAAATTTGACCTGGATTCTTGAAGATTTCAACCATTTGGAATCACCCTTCCTTCCTCTCAACAATTACCAATCCAAGCAAAGGCAGACAACTAGAAATGAGGATGACAGAACTGCTCATCTGCCAGAAGTGAATTAGAAGTGAATTACCCACAACAGTAGGCCAAAGCACTCTGACTAATGCCTTAAACACTTCCCATTTTAAATAAAAACTTACATGGAAATACCACCTGAGCACCTGTGGAACGAAACAATCTACACAGTCTTCTGAAGTAGAGACCTCTTGGGGGGGGTGTAGGGTACGATCAAAAAATTTAAGTGTTTAACTTCATATTCAGTAGAAAAAGAGACAAAATTTTCTGAGTCTCTTTAGACAGAATAGGCGAATCCGTACTCAATGATGTTCACTTCCATGTTAGCGTGCTTGGGATGCATTTAATGGGGGAAATCTACTCTGTATTTTATGAATTGGCAGTTTTTAATGTTACAAGTAAACATGAAAGAAATTAGTTTCTAAGATGATTAAATTTGTGTAGAGTTCTTATTTCCAGGGAAAAAGAAACGAGATCCTTCATGAGTTCATGAAGTCAAGAACACCTCCTTTAAGATGGCCTTAGGTACCTGAGTAAGGACAGTGACATGGTTTTTGCAAATATACAAATGTCCCACTACAGATCTAGATGAAGAGATAATGTCTCATGAAGAAATCTCAATGACCTGTAACATGAAAGCCCATTTAGGGAGTTCTAAAAATGTGGATTATTGACTTGGTTATTTTATAATGCCATGTTTCCACCATTACCATCTCTAATCTATTAAAAATCCTCTTTCAGTGGAAAACAAGATAATTTAAAACATATTTAAAACATAATTGGTTTCAGTATGCCTGTGTTGAGTTCTTTTATCTGCAATTGGTTCTTCTCAGTGGACCAGAGAGAAAAATTCTAAAAGATTTACACAATGCTCTAAATGAATCTACATATGAGAAGTACCAGGTGTAGGTCTGTGAGTTTCTGATGCTCCCCTCTAGGCAGAGCAGTGGGCCTCCTGTTGAACACTACTAGGCTGGAAAAATGTAAACCAGATGGTTGAAAGTGTGTGAGAAACACATTCACACTGGTATCTGGGTGGTGCCTCTGCAACAGTGTTCAATGAAAGAGAGGGTGCCCTGGCTGGCTGCTGGTGACCCACGTGCGGGGCGCTGCCTGGGAGTCAACCAGAGATAGCCCCGCTCTCCTGCAAACGTTTCCTTAGAAAGTGAGATACAAATGAAGGGGCACTGTTCAAACAATAAGATTCTCATTCCTTTCTAGAGTATAGATTCTGTAGTGAGAAAAGAGGGGAACATTTGCTTTTATCTTTAGAGTAAGATGATGTATTTCCAAATGTATTCTTGAGAAAACGTCTTAGGGTCCAAATATAAAATGTGAAAATTTTTCATAGATTAATATGCAGGCAAGGTATTTTTTCATTAACTACAGATTTTGAAAATCCACTGAGCTGAAACCAGTTCATAGTAAATCCAATACATTTAATCACCATGAGCTGTGAAGTAACTATAAAGGTAGTTCATGCATGTATATTGCATGTTATCAATCAGCTTCTGAGCACTTTTCTGGGTCCAATACTTATGTTTTGTTGATACACACAGTAATTAAACAGTACCTGTTACCTGGCCATCTGAATTTAGTTAAGACACTTGTAGATGTGAGCTAGCATTCCAGGTGTTATCAAGAACCAAGGGAAACGATGCTGATGGCCTCAGATGGCCCAGTTTCTAATAGTACCTTCCAAGAAGTATCACAGTTTATTTTGAAACAGCATGTTCATAAGACTTACTAGTTTCTATTCAGCCCTAACTATAATAGAACCTTGTATGTATTCATTTATTCACTCACTCATGATGCACCAAACATTTAGGAAGTGTCTAATGCATGCGAGTTACTGGGTTCACCAAAATGAGTAAGACAAAATCCTGGTCCTTGAGGAATTTACAAGACAGAGGGAAAGAGAGGCTAGCATATGCATTATAATTATAATGGATTGCAGTGAGGTAGAGAAATGAACTGTGGTGTGAGGGAGAAATACAGAAACACGCAGGTGGACATTTAGAGCAGGCAGGGTGCGGGCCTGAGTTACCCACCTGGGGTCCTCACTAGAGTCGCCGCCTCAGCGTGGGGACAGTCCGTGTCTCCCTCCCACGCTGACTCGGAGGCCCCACGCTGAGCCTGGTAAAAGGACTCCCACTCCTGACATCTTTTCTGCTTGATGGTTGACTGACTCCTAGACCCTGGACTAAACCTTTATTCCAATTAAACCTGGCACAGAAACGCTTGAGCTCCTCACCAAAATCTAATCCCACAAGACCTCCACTTCTCATCAGAACGTTCCAGCAAAACCTCCTGCTTAGAGCAAGGCCACTTGAAAGGGACGGACGAGCAGAGACAGGAAGACTGGAAAACCATGGCTTACCCGCAGTGACAACTTCTTCACCTGGCGTGTGCGAGTCAGGGGCTGTGACTTACCTTTTCAAGTGGGCAGTGGGTGCTGTCTCGGAGGAACGGAAGTAAGTTTGGCCGATCGTATTCAGCATACAGACTGATCTGTTTTTCATGGTAGCGCTGCCCCTTATGATGGTCTCTCTTGAAAAGCTTATGCAGATACTGAAAAGAACAAAGAAATAAACCATGAACATTAAAATAAGAAAAGCAATACATGCTAACATTGCCGATTTCAGTTCTAAACAGCTTCCGTGGAGAGACTGGGGAAAAGCAGTTTTCAGGAAAAGAATCTGTATGTGAAAGAGAAATCTCTGCGAGAGCAAGGAAATTCTGACAATCTCTCTAGAATGGCCCCGAGTGACCTGGCTCGACCACTCACCAACCAGGTGAGCTGAGGCAAGTCACTAACTTGTCTCTGTGACTGAGTCTCTTTATCTACAAAAATCCCATTGGGTTGTTGTGAGCTTTGGCTGAGTTACCCTTTGGGAATCGCTCAGCACCATGCGTGGCATTCCCTAAGCACGACAGAAATGCTGATGCCACACAGCTGACCCTTGAGCAGCATGGGTTTGAACGAGTGGCTCCACTACATGCGGACTTTCTTCAGTAAATATAGTCAGCCCTCTGCACCCCCAGGCTTTGCATTTGTGGGTTCAACCAACTGCAGATCACAAACAGTGTTTTCCATCCGTGGCTGGGAATCCACGGAAGTGGAGGGTCAGCGATATGCATTATTCTACGGCATTTCACGTAAGGGGCTTGAGCATCTGGGGGTTTTGGTGTCTGCGGGGTCCTGGGACCGACCCCCCCCCGGATACAGAGGGGCAACTGTAGTTAAGTTTTTGGGGAGTCAAAAGTTATACATAGATTTTCAACTCTGGGTTAACCTTGCATTGTTCAAGAGTCACTGTAGTTGTTCACATTGTCACTACCATCTGCTTTGCCTCAGAAATAAAAAACTTGATTAGTGGTCTTTCTAGGTCGTACAAATTCTTGCCTTCATATAAAAGGGGGTAGAATCATGGGGTAATATGTTCTTAAAATTCAAGCTGCAAGTACCAAATTGGCTCGCATGCATTCTGATCTCCTCTCTGTTCGCATTACTGAGAAGCCGTGTTTGCAATGAAATACTGCCTATGCTGGTGACATCAAAAACAAAAATAAAAAGTAAGTCTAAGGAGAGTATAGGTGTCTAAACCAATTTTCAAACTGATTCCTTTCCCTAGCTGTCTGAAAAAGTTAATGGACCTCAAAGGGAGTGAGTAATTTGCTTTCCACTCAGAGGCAAGATTAAATCTATCAATACATTCACAGAAGTTGGAAATAAACATTCAATATTTAGTTAACATTAAATGTAAACAAACATCCCATAACACTCCCCTGCCCAGGCAGAAAGACTTAATCACACCATTCACATGAAGTGTGTTCACTCCAAGTGGGCTGGTTCAAAAGAAACAGAGCATCTGCCCACCCCTGAGGTTGCGACCGCCAATGAGTCGGGTGAAGTCTGACATTCACCGTGGTATATGGCCACTAAAGGACCCTAACCTAACCACGACACAGGAATGCTGAGAAACAAGTCCTCAGATGAACTGTTCACATCTCCCCAAGGCAGGAAGAGGGGTGGGGTGGGTGGAGGAGGGGCAGCCGGACAGAACTCCAGAGGCCAGTCCCCTGTCCCCAGGGTCAGTGTGTGAGCTGGACACACGGTGCCATTCCCCAGAGGCACAAACAGGAGAGGAAGGCCCTGTTACATCTGCTGAGGCAAATTGATAGAGACGTTACATTACCTGACAGGAAGATGAGCCGTTTTAGTGAGCTCGGCCACCACTTCACCACAGCACTAATCAGTGTCACACAGATACCCAGCACCTGTGAGCCTGTCTCATGACATAAGGAGGCCAGCAGTCACTGCTTTATCAACCAAGCCCAAGGTGGCCATGACAAAGGCACCTCGCCTGATTACCAGGTAATCTTGAGATTTCCAATCATGAACAATAGCAACAGCTTCTGCACAAAACCTAACTTTTGAATAAAATACTCTATTCCCAGAGCCTCCTTCTGGGGCGTAAAAAGGTGGTCAAAGATACAAGAGTGCTCATGGTATTTGACACGTATAGTCCTACAGGAATAATCCCTATTTTCATTGAAGGCTTTTCTTGTATAATTTTTAAAGGACATAGAAAACATCTACCCTTGCTTTACTCTCATTATGACAGCAAAAGCACAGAGTCCAAGTATTTCCCCAAAGAAATCTAGAATAATGGGCCTTAACAACATCACCACCAAGACTACACGAGAGAAGTGGGATTAGCTAGTGTCAGGTGAGGGACAAGAAAGGAGACTCTGTTCCTTGATCATTCTGGGGTGTTGTGATTTATGCATAATTATGTTAAGTGGTAACTAGAGAAGGAAGGTGCTTACTCTCAGGCAGTCTGATAACATAAAAATGAATATGTAACTTTTTAAAAAACAAAATTCAATTGTGATTCAAATTAAAGTGCCCAATCTGTAATTAATTCCTCACCTGGACTCAGGGCATAGGCCACATTTTAATATTAATATAATTACAGAATACTGTTTGTGGTCAAGTTTTCTGAGTAGGAACCTGACAAGCTCACTCCAGAATTCTCACCCCAGTACTGACAGGTGACTCGCCTCACTACGCAATCAAAAGAAGATGGTGTCATGCTCACCATGTGCTGCAGCTCTGGTCTGTCTTCTAATTCTTCCACTACCTTTTTAATCTAGATAAAAAAGAAAATTTTAAATGTAGTTATAAGGATGCAAACATAGCTGCAAAATTACCCAATAAACACCTCTCCTTTTTCTGGCTAGAGTGGTCCCAGACACTCATCTGGTAACACATGTAAAAAAAAAAAAAAAAGACACTCACTGAAATTTTATCTTCATTGTCCAAAAGCATGTCAACAGCTTTCTGGAAAAAAACAAAACGCCACTGTCATTGAAATTTGCCATATAAGAAGAGAATACTGAACACAATGCATTATACATGCTGTCACATTTAAGGCAGAGGGCTTATTTTTCATGCATAAAGAGGTCCTTGGCTTTACAATCACCGGTAAGTGATATATTATAAAAGAACGCATTTTCAATGGGCCTCAATCCAAGGCCTATGTGCTTTGCACTGATAACTCACTAAATAGAAAATACCTTGACTACAGATATACTAGCCTCCTTAATGTCCCAGGTATCTTCACAAGTTCTCACGTCACTCTCAGTAGTAGGAGAGTGCATTGTTCTTGGTACAAAAAGGAGCTTTTCTTCTGGCCTGACTATTGAGTGGGTCCCTCTATAGATTTCACAGATGAAAGGAGCTAGTCTTATGTGGAGAAGAAGATAAGAGCCAGAAAAAAATCAGGTAACTGAAGTTTCAGAATGCTATAAAGCTTATGGACTTTTAGAATTTATACCAGCTCCTTTGATACTAACGAAACACAAATTATACCGTGTTTGTAACAAGAGGTAGTGGGAACACGGGCCACGAGACTGAGCCTCAGTCAGAAAATCTGGGGTCTGTTCTTGGCTCTGCCACCACCTAGCTGTCTACTTCAAATAGTTTTTTCCTCTGAAGAATGAGGATGTTGGAGATTATTCTTTATGTATCTTCTAATTAGAAAACTCTGTGATTCCTTAACTTTGGTTCCTACTCTTGAATAGCAATTAGTTTCAGCTCGTCATCTTTTTTTTCCATAGCTACCTATGCAAAAGTAGGGTCTTAAGATAGGTGAGCGGTGGCGAGGAAGAGGCCTAAAGGGAGACTGGACATGAGCAAATGTAGTTAATTTTTATATAAGCACCTCAGCCTCTTAGTCATCTTCTGCCAGAGAAGCAGGGCCACAGCACCTGAGCTTCCTAGGACCTGCACTAAATCTGTTTAGATGTGTAGTCCCCCAGGGCTTGACTTAGTCAGCTTGAAAAATGAGCTAAAAGCATTGCTCAGAAAAAAGGTTTATTTAGATCCTATTTATATTAAGTTTGTGAAGACTAGTAAATAGCACATAATAGTCCTAAATATAGTAAAAAAAAAAAAAAGGAAAACTGCAAAAAACCCTTTTGGATCCTTAAGTTGTGCTCTTTGATTTGTCTAAAATTTCAATTTTCTGAATAAGAACTACTGTGTTTTACAAACCTCTTAATTTCAATCTCTAGCACTTGTCATTAGCTTTTTTTTTTATGCACACACACGCACGCACACACACAGCTTAGAACACTTTACAAGAGCCACTGGGAGCTGTGGAGCTTGGGTGCCCTCATTTGTAAAGCAATCTACAATATTCAAATTTGTCCTACAATAAAATAACATGTCCCATGTGTCCTGGACATGAGCATCATCTGAAACCAAGGGACACTCCACATGCTAAATTTGTAAATACCAAGGAATAAAATTACAATAAATGGATCAAAATAGTTTACTTAAAATTTTAACTTTGGGACATATAATTAAGACGGTTGAACAAGCCAAAGCATATTTTTTGTTTGTTTCAATGAATTATGTGAATTGTTTTACTAAAAAAATCACATCTCACACACACAATTTCAAAAGTTCCACATCAAATTATGATTATTTTTACAGAATAACCACATCAAGTATAGGGTTTCTGAATGCCAACTTCTACCTAAAACAACTAACATCTAGTGCAGGTGAGTGCTCTGAACATGATCAGCACACAGCCAAGCTGTGTGATTTATTAACTCCTCTAGCATTTGGATAGATGTCTAGTTACTACAAATTTAGAATAGCAAAAATAAGTGATCAGAATTAAAATAAAAAAGCATTACCTCGGAATCAAAATCCATTAATAACACAATTTTATCCTTGATAGAACTGAAAAGGTTATGCTTGTGGATCAGCTGGAAGACATCCTTATGTCTTAATGTTAAGTATATTTCCAGAGCATTGCCGTAGTTTTTGTCATAAGTGTACCTGGTAATATAAATTTTTTTAAATTAATGCTCATTAGTACTTCTAATTAAACATACACATACACACATACATGTTTTACAATATTAAAAACTGAAAAACATGCTCAGAGAAAAGTTAACTTTATTTGGAAAACTATTCCTCGATTTAACTATATGTGACCAATAAGTCTTTCTCAGAAACTTGCGTCCCGTCTCACCAAAATTTTAGAAAGTTTACAATATTCAAGTAATAAAAATTTTTTCATAGAAATTCTTAAAATTTTTTATTGAAATAAATCCATATACCAGAAAAAAAATATAAACAAAAACAAACCTATGATCCAGAACAAAGGAAATTCTTATTCTGGTAGAAAAATCAGGTCAAATTCTTACAAGCCGTTTTCAGCTCACAAATGGGTGATATTCCAAAAGCTGATTTGTAAGGGGGCTGCATAAAATTTAAATGTCTTTTTCTGTTGAAGCAATGTTTTTCACATTCCTGAATTCCCTATGCCAGCTCCTAAAAGCCAACTGAACCTAAGCTGTACAGTGAGTCCAGTGTTAGTACTACAGAATTACTAGTGTTATCAGTACCTTGTTAGTA